CTTGGTTAAATGTCAAGGTGCAGTAGTTCATCTGCAACTTTTAATTGCTCTTGGTAGTTTATATAGATTAGAACAGCTTGAAAATTTTTTGTGTATGTACTTCTTTTTTCCAAATAACAACTACTGCTGGAGGAATCATTTTCCTAAACAGAAAAGTCAGTATTTTATTTGTTTGTCTGAAATTTGAAAAACTGGATTTAATTTAGATTTGAAAAAAAAAAAAAAAAAAAAAACAACAAAACCTCTTCAGGCTAGTGTAGAATATTTGAAGATGGTGCAGCTAAGTTCTTCTTGTGTTTTTACTGAACTAACACTAAATCCTGTGTATTTGCAACCTTTATTTTTTTCTTTCTGTCCTCAGCTATCCCCGAAGGAAAAACCTCCACCCCTTCTCCCCTCTCAGACATGTTAACATAATTTGCATGAAACAAATTAGCTTAACATTTTAGGAGGTTTTTTTAGAGTAAGTTTTGTCAATACAAGTGGGGAAGCTTTAAATGATTAATTGCTGTTCTGGTCAATTGACAGTGAAACTGGCAAAGCTTAAATTTCAATTGTGTTCTTAAAATACACTCCTCTGTGTTCCTTCCGTGTTCACTCACCTAAATAAGAAGCAAGAGTAGCTTCCAGAAGAATACAAGGTATTTATTGTACTCACCTAGTTACTTTATTGCATACATATAAGTATCATTTCTGATCCGCGACCTGAGAATGTTGCATCCCTAATATACGTACATGATAGCAATGCATGCTGGCTGAAAGAACAGCTCTAAGCCCTGCAAAAATGAAATCTTTTAAAATATAGCTGTGTAGGGTGGTCTGCTTGATCACACAGTTATTGTTTATGTAGAAATAGATGCTTGTTTGTACTTATTTTGATGTTGCTTTTAATTTTCATTTTATTTTCACTATGGGTAATAAAATACCTATTTCATGAGTTACTGCATTTGATTGGCTGATGAGTTTCTGTGTCTGAAAGTACTGCTTACAGCATTTTCAGCATAATTCTGATGTTAATGGCAGGTGCAAAGGTGAAAAAATCTGTCAGCTTTAGAAAAGTTACTGTAAACTTGCTGTGAATTTTTGCATGTATTTACAAACTTATATTTGAAAGATTACTGTTTCAGCCATCACTACCCCCATTCAGTGTCATGTTGGGCAAGTTATAAAAATGGCATCAAGTCAAACAATGGGATGTGCTGCTGAGGAGCTGAGTTTAGGTATCTTTTATAGCTATGTGTAACACATTTATTTAAATCCTCTTCTCTGATGCTTCAGTTGGTGTTTTTTTTTTCAAAATAACCTCAGTAATTTTCTGATGCTCTTAAACAAGAGAGTGGCTAAATGTAGTAGAGAAAAAGGACATACAGTCTGTTTCTCTAAGGGTCAGTTGTCATACTGTAGTATACATGAGACCTGCTCTGAAAGTAATGCCTCCTTTTTTATGATGTTAGAGGCTTGACATTGGTGGCATGGCAGTAGAGGCTGAACCTTCCCACCAATATTCCATTGCATTTTGTTGCTGTGTGATAGATGGCAGCAGAGAAACAGTCTGGCAAAATGATATCTGGCATGGAAGTGCATATGAAATGGGTGTGCACCTGGATTCCTCTGTGCAGAAAAAGTGGCACCCATTGATGTTCATCAATGTCTGCTGATCCTTCATGGACACCAAGCAGTGGATGTGAGCACAGTGAGGTGGTGCATTTCAGCAGTGGTAACAACAAAATGGAAGACAAGCCATATTCTGGATGACTATGCAGATTATTATGAGTGCAGCATACAGGCTCTTGTTGGTGGCTGGTGAAAATGACTAGCTAAGGGTGATGGCTGTTGAGAAATAGTGTTTTGTAGCTGAGAGTTTGCTCTATCAAATAGTGTTATTGTGCTCTTTGTAGCTGTTGTACCTCCCATGGGAATAAATTGGAGGCATTACTTTTGGAGCAGTGAACGTATTTGCTGAATTTTATTTTAGTTCTGTTTGAAGGACAGTGGGTGCAGCTGTGTGGGTAGGATATATTCACCTCCACTGCTGAAACAAAGGTATAACTGTTGTGTCAAGTGCTGAGTGCATTTCTGATGGTACTTTTACATTTCAAACCTTTGGAGAAGCTTCAGACCCATCTTTTATAGGATGAACTAGAGATGTATCAAGTCAAGGCTCTTGGTTCATCTTGGGACTGCTTATGCAGATTATTTTTCCTGTGTCTTTAGATCTACTGAAAGAATTCTTTAAAAGGTGATCTGGCTGAATTTCCTGAAATATCCTCATGGGAAGAGACAGGTTTCAAGCTGAAGAAATCTTAGGAGTCTTGATCTATAACACCCTGTCATGATGTGAAGTTAATCACGTGACTGCAGTACTGGTTTGGGGCCTACAGGAGTAAAGAGTCTTCAATCAGCTGCAACTTGCCAAGCTGCTCTGGACAGGGATGTAGGGACAGTTCCTGCTCCTGTGCTATCTGCCCCGCTCATTTCTCAGATTGTATTCATGCACAACTCTGGGCTTTGTCATACTCACTTGTAGCAACTATTTTGTTACTCTTGTTGTGTTGTGTTGCCTGGAGTTGTGTGGTATGAACAAAACACACTTGATATGTTCAGATGAGTCTGGAATGTCTGGGCTGTGTTAACGTAATGTGTGAGGTACTGCAAAAAGGGGATGTCACTTTTCACTCCTTCCCCACATGCCATTCACTCTCATTTCCTCTCTCCAGCACACCCACCTGTGCAGGGAGCTAGACTATAGAACTGATTCAATGAAAATTAATGTGGTTTCTGTAACCACAAGTCAGGTGTTGCTGAGACCTTCCCTTTTAGTAGCCACTAGTGTAAGATGGTCTTTTAGACCTAAAGCTGAGTTGTTACAAGATTGTATGTCTGATTTGCTGAAACAGGATCTGTATTTTAAGAACAGGTAATGCATGCTGCCCTAACTACTTCACTTTTCACGGAGTTAGTGTGTGTTAATACATATTTACAAGGTGACTTTTTAAAAAAGTGTTCTTTTATTACAGTTTGGTGATATGAAAATAAGATTTTATAAAGGGGGAAGGGAAGAAAATAGAGTGCAGCATGGGAAGAGAACAATGAACTCATCCTGTGAGCCCATCCCTTCCCATTGCTTAGGAAAGAGAATGGGCAGAGGCAAGTGGTGCATGAAATGTTTTGGTGTCTGCAACACACTGCCAGCTCCTCTTTGCTGGAGGCCCTCTGGGAAAGGGTGTAACAAATGCACAGTATAATTGATTTGCCCATGCATAGTAAATTGGTGAGCATTGTATTATGGTCAACTATGCTATGCATTTAATCTGTCCATGCAAAATAAATCTGAGAAGCATTGTGCTGTGGTCAACTGTGCTGTACATTTACCATAATTCTGGTCACGTGGCTCCCTTTCTGTGCTGCTGGAATGAACAGCCAGTTAATAGAACTTGTGAATTATTGCTATATATGAACTACAAATATACAATAATGTTTTCTGGAATTGATGGATCTTCTCAGGTTTGGGTCTTCCATACGCTGAGCTCTGTTCATTTGTGTTTAAAATTTTTGCTGACACAATTATACTGTTTACGACTGTGGAAGGAATTCCAGCCCAACTCTCTGGTAGAGTTGATTAAAAGTGGTTTTGACAAATGCCAGACTAAAAAGTCCTGCTGGTACGTTTTGCTTTTTTTAGGAAACTGCTTCAACTCGGACTAGTAACAGAACTCCTGCTAATATAACTGTTTGTTAGCCTGAAGAGTTTTGCTGCTATAAATATAACCCAAGTTCTCTACGTAGTTTCAAAGCTCTGTTTAGCTGCCTTAGGCAGATTTAGCCATAGTGGCTAAAACAAAGGTCTTCAGCTGTCCTTCTGGTCTCTATGGCAGAAATAGATGTCCCTTAGCTAGGATAGCTGGTAGAATGCTCTGTACCAGCAGTAGTTCACTGTCTGCCATATCTGTGTAAACTGGTATCTGCAGCAGCTCATACTAACATGCCAGACAGTGAGTTGTTACTGCAGAGGGAGAGATTTACGCTGTGCTTGACTGTTGTGCTTTGGTTGTGTTAGTGGACAGCTGTGATACCTGCTTCAGGCACCGTAACTGCTTTTGTCAATGATCTTCAATTTGGTTGATTGCTTCAGTCAATGTCATATTTTTCTTTTTCATTCATCTGTAGTAGTCAGATCTCCTAAACTGCTGTGTAACTCCAACACTCCTTTTTTGTCTCTTCCACATTGCTTTCTCAGATGGCTTTCATTAGCAAGATCTATTGAGATATTTTCCTGCATGATATCAATATAAGAAAGTAGAATATCACCAAGTCATATATATATTTTGTCATCTAATTAATCATTTAATCCTACCTGGACTAAATTAGAAGTGTCTGTATAAGGATATGTGGTTGAACGATAGTAACAACTTGGTTCTGCTTACTCTGTATTATAGGTAATAATTCATGAAGTTCTATTCCCAGTAGTTTTCATTCTCTATAAATTTTCTTTTATAGAGAGTCATTTAACAACTAGTAAATAATTTCAAGGATTTTTAAAACTGTGCATTACTTTCTAATTTTGCAAACTTTTTTGTGTCGCTAAATTAGTTACTTCAGCAAATCTGTTCACTGTTGCAGGCAAGCATTTAAACATTAGCAGGAATCTGTTCACACAGCTTACAGAGGCTGTAGGTTAGGAGCTTCAAGGAATGCAATTCCTATTTGTTTGTTATGTGCAGTCGTATAGAAAGTGACATAATCCTCAGTACTTGTTACTAGATTGTCATTAGTGTGGAAGTGTTACCTTTGTAATAGGTAACGTGCAGCATGCATGTGTGTCAGGATTGTTTCTCTCCATGTTTTAGTCCATGTAAGCTCTGGCAAATAGCACTTTAAATTTTGTCAGAAATATTAACGTAGTTCTGTTTGACAGAGTCATGTTGAATTTCTGTATTTCAAGTCAGATATGAGAATAAGTCAGTCTAAACTATTCTAATTCACTTTTTTGATTCCTGCAGTTTGGCTGAAGAGGAAATAAAGGCAGAGCAGGAGGTGGTGGAGGGGATGGATATCTCCACTCGATCCAAAGGTGAGTAAGAAGGAATATTTCACATGTTCCATAACAGAGAAAAATATCTGTAAACTAGGAAACAAAACTGTGCCATCTATGGTGAAACTGCTCTTGAGAGAAGAGTCACTCTGTTTTTTTACAGTGACAGTTGGATCTTGGAATGTGTTTTGATTTTTGCTTAGTTTTCATTGTATGTCATACACACCCCCCACACTCCATTGTTATTTCTGATTTATGCACAAGTAAATTTAGGTCCTTGGAAAGAACATTGACCTTCTGTATCATCTTACTTGCCATGGCTTCCCTTGAAGATTTGCAATATAGGAGAAACTAATAATATGAAGGTGGTATTTCATACAGTGACCAATCCTAATTTTCCTAAGAATGAAGAACACTAATGTTTCTGTTTGCACAAAAATTGGTTCACTGAGCAGTGTGTCTCAAAAATGTTTATGCATGCATTCCATTATCCCCACCTGAAGTAAATTTGGTAGTATTGCAGGTGACTGGGAATTTCTGTCCCTCTGGTTTTTAACTTTTTTCTGTGAACGAATTACTACAGGCAAACGCTGTTGTCTCTAAGTATAAAGAAACTTAAAGATGTAAACATCTCTATTGGTTTAAATAATGCCACAGTCACTTGGACTGGAGCAACAAAAGTGCCCTGCAATGAAATACTTGCACGTGATTGCTTGCTACCGTTCAGTGTAGTTGAATGCCAGCTGCCTGTCCACACTCCTTTTGTACTTGCAGCAGACTTGGCTTTCAGGTAAGCCAAGCAATTTATGTTGCTTTTATGCATTGCATTTCTGTCATGTGTGTTCTTTCAGATAGTAATTTTCTTTCAGTTCTCTGGTAGGATTAGATGAGGAGGTATATTTCATCTCTGTCATCTGACAGCTCACAAGAGATTTGCTTACTCCTTTTGACTCCCTTTGCCCCCTTCTCCCCTTTGCTCATTGTCTTGCGCTTCAGCCTCCATCCTTGGACCGTTTTTGATGTTTACTTCTATATTTCAGTTGACAAAGCTAGGAGAAAGTCAACTTTTTTTTTTTTTTTTTTTTTTTCTCTCTTCAATGACTGTGGAAAGAGGATATCTCCTGGTCCTCTCTACTCCCAGCTTTGTGGTCCCACCACTTTATTCCTTTGTGGGGCTTGTCAGATCCCAGCTGATATAGGAGGCAAGGGGAGTTATTAGATGCATTTGGCTGCCCATGGCATAATTCACCTTCAGTTCACCTTAGTTCACCTTTGACCCAGATATTAATGATAATAATATAAATTTCACACACATCAAATGAGCTAAATTGTTTCTTTTGTCATTCTGAAATTCAGTATCTGGAAGATTTTTATGAGTTTAATAATATTTATGTGGATGTCTGCATTATCACACTGTCGCTTTACTTAGCACAGAAACAGATGTATGGTCCATACAGCAGGTTTCAGTTCCCTTACCTTAACTGGAGTGCTGATCTGACCTCAAGGTGTGTTGATTTAATGAATTAAGCCCACGAGGAACCTTTTGCTTTCCTTGTAGGGTTAAAATGAAATTAAGCTGATTAAATAACTCATGATTATTGAAAGGGATGGACTTTCATCTTCCAGTCTCATCTTTCATTCCCGTGATCTTGCAGCTCCCATTGCTTAGGCTTGGATCAGTTCAAAATAGAAAAACGAAGACTTGTTTTATACTGAGTTTCTATTGGTACAACTCCCTGAACAAGCTCGTGGGCAAGCTCCTGTAGTGATTGAAGGGAGAGTGGTTTGTAAAACAAAGACATTATTACCATAACACTAGTTTAGGTTGGCCCAACCTGTTACTGTGGCCAGAAGTCATTGTTCTGTATGCAGAAGGACTCTTAAATATCAGTGAGATTGATCTGAAAGGCCTTTGTTGTCCAAACATCACCGTAGGAAAGATAAAACTTGACGGAAGTTGAATTAATTGAGTAATAGTTAATGGATGTGATATTTATTTAACTAGTCACTCCTTTCATTTAGTTGGTTTGTTAAATGTGGACTGTAGGTTGGGCAAAAGCCATGTCAATGCTATTTTAAAGGGAAAAATAGCCATTGCCCACCTCTGGTCCCTTTCAGCTGTTTTATCAGGGAAGAAATGATGTGGGATGTAAAGAAATCTTAAGATTTGTCTGTAAGCCATCTTGCTCTATTGTATTTCCAGCTTAATTTATGAACTGGTGGTAGAACTATATAATAGTTGAATTTGTAAGTTTGCATAGAAAATAAGAGGGAGTGGATCTTAAGTGTCATCTGCTTAGTGCAAGAGCTGGCTATGTTACAAGCCTGCTGAAGTGAATCTTTCTTGGCTTCTGTTGTATGGATTGAAACAAGATCCTCTTAGTTTAGTGGAGCATTTCTGCAAAGGAGAAGTTGGAAAGCAGAATTTAAGAACTGCTTTTATACTTTGTGTAGGGTAGATATAATGCAGCAAGGTTTAATGGTGGTGTGATAGGGTAACAGTATTTCTGTAATCTTGTTCAGAATTTTGCTTTGTGTGTTTTTGAGAGGATGTATATGAGGAAATTGATCTTGGATTGATAAGCCCTTAAGGGAAGCACGGAGCCCTGCTTAATTTATTTATTATTATGCTCTGAGAAGCTGGAGTTGAATCCCAGGTGTTGTACAACTTCACTGCTGTCCTGAAGAAGCTGTTATGCTGCAAGTTTGTAGTTTAACTTGCTCTGCTACAGTGTGTTTGTATAGCTAACGTGAGGCTATGTGTAGGGGCAGTTGTGCCAAACTGAATTAAATTGCTTAAATTAAATTAATTAAAAAGATAGCTCAATGCAGACCTCATCATAAACATACTTTAGAATAAACAGTTCAGTTTTACTTGTTATAAATGAATTCTAGTTCAGCTTAAGCTAAACTGAAACATGCATTGTTTAATCTGAAAACAGGGAGTGTCAGCATAGCCTTTTGAATTGGTTTAAGTAAGGTGGTGATTTCAAGGCAGACTAAGCTTGGCAGACTGCTCAGTGCTGCAGTTTTACCCACTTGTTTCAATAGTTAAGCTGGCAGGAAACTAACTGAACCATAAAACATGCTTAGTTTTTTACTAGCTTAGTATGCTGCAATAGCTTGGTAGGCTGCCAGCACTGGTGTAAGAGAGAGGACAAGAATATACCAGTTGGGTGCAGGAAGTGTAGAGCTTGGCAGCCAGCTTTTAGGTAGGCTTAGGCTCTAAGAAAAATAGAGCTTAAAACTGTAGCTGAGACTTCTTATGCTTTAGAATGTGATACATAAAGGTGAGTCTCTAGAAGTGGTCAGAGCTATGCACTCTGACTCTCCATCTGCATTTTTCTACCCCTCTCCTTAGGCTAGCACTGGTGCTTATTTAGGCTAGCACTGTGCTATTGCACAGTGAGCAGTGTCAAGAAGTTTGTACTGTATTTTTTGGTCTAATCATGAACAGATTGATTTAATGATTACACGTAAGTGCCTCTCTGTGGGAAGGTGTAGAGGCAGACCTCTGGTGGAGTTGAAAAGGGAATGGGAGCAGACTTACTGTAGTAGTTTAACTGTTCTAATTTAGATATGCTAATAAGCTGTGGATGGGCAGCTTCAGTAAGGATAGGGTTTTAAAATACATTGCTGCCTTGATCAGAACAAGCATGTGTAAGACATCAGAGAACAGGAAATGGAAAATAATGGCTTCAAGAGAATAAAAGAAGTCCTAAAAAACAAACGAGCAAACAAAAAAACCAGAACAAATGCAGAAGCAGATTGCTATTTAGCAAGGGAAAAAGGCCATGGAATAGATTATTGTAATATTTTGTCCTCTGCGTATCATACATGAACATTTCTGACAGAAACATCTTGTTGTATTTCTGTTCCAGCCCTATGGACTACTTTTTAACTTTGTATATTAAATATTTCAAGATAGAGCTTTCAAGGCTTTCTGGAGGATTTCCTGAGTGTTTCCAGGTTGTGTTCCCAGAGCAGTGTAACCAGCTTAATTATTGTCTGATGTAGTTCTGTCTTTCCACGTGCTTGTTCTCTCTAAACAGCAGTAGGCTCTTCATTGGGCTTTTTTCTACTATTGACTTGAAGACTTTTCTTTTTAATTTCAGGCTGAGGTTATTTTTTTGCTTGATTTTTTGCTTACCCCCCAGTAGATGTTAGCTGTGGTGGCAGGTGGACTTCCATGAAGGTTTCGTGTATTTCAGCTAGTGCTCTTGTTTGCTTGAATAGTGACCAGTAAAAAGGAGCTCTTTAACTTCCTCCTTCCCATCATCAGTCATGTGTTCATTATGTTTCCTTTGCTTCTGTACTGGCACTTAGCCACTTCGATTCTAAGTCTGTTAAGGATTTGGATGTGGAAGTAATTTTCTACCTGCTTATCTCCCTGAACCAGATTACTAGGGAGTTGAATAGATGTCATTGCTAGGATCAGATGTGCCTGTCAATGCCAGCTCATCATTAGGTGGTCTTAGCTGTATAATAAAATCATATACTGAAACACTACTACACTTAACAGTAAGAATTCTTACTTGGACAGCTTTTGTAATGTGGCATGTTTGTATTTAAGGCTTGTCTCTTAAGGGCATCTCACAGCGGTAAAGATATTGTTCAGATATTGTGAGTATAAATACAAAATGAATAGTAAAACCAAATTTCTAGAAAACTTCTATTTTTAGTAGTAGTTTCATAATAGTATAATGTTTCAACTTTTGATGCAGTGACACCAAGAATGACGTTCTTGTCTCAATGTGAAATGTAATTTGAAACTTCTGCAGTGAAAAGTAGTACAGCCTGAGGCTTATTTCTCTAGTACTGAGGGTCTACAGGAGTGCCTTGAGGCAGCAGGTCCCCCTGCAGCCAGGCTGTAGCTCATAAGCTGCTTACCTCCCTTACATTGCCAGAGGTAGCCATGTATTTCTTGCTCTCTGTCTTCCAAAGCTCTAAACTGAAGAAACATGTAGCAGTCTCTTTTTGTACTTGCAATTGCAATGTAGGAGTTCATCAGGATTTACACAACCATGGCTAACCTCTGT